AGGTAGGACATGGCTCAGACATGTAATTTATATTTTACAAATATGCGTATGTGTTAACACAGAGGTGTTGTAAATGTGTAAATAATAAAATGCAGTTATAGAGATCACCTATAAGTAACATGTCAAACTATCTTTTGCGTATAAGATATCGGTAGTATCAAACGTTGTTGATGGACAGGTGATWGTCAGAGCTAGGTGTTTCAGGTCCATGGAGAAGTATGAGGGACCTCATAGACGGCAGGTTTGGAAAGACAGACAAGAAGAACAAAAAAAGTACAATATGTTGCCTTCAGGCCCAGGCTGCCCTTGCAAAAGAGATCTGTGAACTTAATACAATTTTGCCTGGTAAATTTATAAATAATAGGTCATTTGGCTGGTGTTTATAAGTTCATATTTATGTTTCACTGTTTCCCTTCTGCTGCTGTTGCAGACTTTTTCCAATATGATTTGTTATTTAATAGAAAGCTAGTCCAGTTAAACCAGTACAGCGTATGAATGTAGTCTTAACACTTGGAATTTGTTAATAGATTTCACTGGAAGTTGTAAAGTTGGAGTTGATGGCTGCCTTTTGTAGTTGTGATACTGATAGTGGGTTTTGCAACCATATAGTGGCCCTTCTTTACCAGACTGCGCACTACTCCCAGCTCTGGTTTCCAGCTGTCKACCTGCTCTTGCTTGTACAAGCAATTTACAAAGATGGCACATATACAGTAGACACAGGTGAATCTTTAAAACACTACCACGATTTCTAAATATAAGACACAGTCATCCTCCCAATGTTACTGTTGTGTACTGGTTTTGTATCATTAGGGGATGGGTTCAGAACCTACCAGTGAGGTAGTGCGAAAGCCCAAAACAGTGAGAAAAGATGGTTTGAGGTCCACCCTTTACAGAGCTTATTTGCCACACAAAGTGTAACAAAAACTGTTTAAAAAGTATAAACANTCTGAACACGCTGTTAGATTTTTATTTTAGTTTGAGTTTTTATTGTTTTAAACTCAAACGATCATGAAACTGAACCCCGGGACTGAAAATCATTTAACCTCAGACAAGAAAATAGATCAGCCTAAAAATGATCAAAAGAACCTCAGTCCAGTTTGTAAACCGTAAAGTTTTTATATTGTTGTCACGTAGATGGAAACACACGCAGAGCGCAGGCCTGTGGAGCGCACACACAGCTGAGGAGAATAAAATGTGTGAGAAAAAAAACTTTGTAAACTCAGCAGATTAAATCAGAACAGCTCAGCTGTGATGATTCCTCAGCTCCACAAGATGCAGACAAGAGATTTGTTGCACGTAAAGTTATGTGTATGGATCAATAACCGTGTTTCCATCCAATTACATCCAATTTTAATTCGAATTTTTAGTTAATTTTAATAATTTCACAAAAAGGAAAAATATAAAAAATGCGAATCAGACAGAGTTT